CCTTCTCCTTCTCCTCCTCCTCCTCCTCCTCCTCCTCCTTCTCCTCCTTCTCCTCCTCGACCTTTTTCTTCTTCTTCTTCTTCTTCTTCTTCTTCTTCTTCTCCTGCCTCACAGGGTGTCTGTTGTGGGGAGGGGAAGGGAAAGGAGATTGTAAACTGCTCTGAGACTCCAAGTGAAGGGCAGGGTATAAATCTCCTCCTCCTCCTCCTCCTCCTTCAGAATTCTTTTTTAAAATAGGGATGCTGTTGAACTTTACCAGCTTACTAGGTGTATTTTGATTTCACTTAATCTTTTTATGAGAATCAAACCTGTGCATTCTCCTTTTCATGTTGTTTTCTGTTGCCTTATGCCAAGATTTCCCTGTTAAATGTATGCATTTTTCTTTTTAAAATAGTATACACTACTACAACAGCAGAAGTCCATTACTTGTGGGAGTGGGAAGGAGATCAATCCTAAGCACATAGACTCAGAAGTGGGTCCCATTTTATTCAATGGGACTTACTCTTAGGGAAGAGCTGGCACAGTTGTAGCATCACAGTACGCAGGTAAGTGCTATCAAGTTGCAACTGAGTTATGGTGACCCCAGGAAGGGGCTTTCTAGCCCGGTGAGAAGCAGGGGTGGGTTGCCGTTGCCTTCCTCTGCAGAGTCCTCTTTGGTCGTCTCCCATCTGAGTACCAGCCCCGCTTAGCTTTGCAGGTCTGGTGAGCTCAGGCTATACCACGCTGCCTTCCCTTCCAGCCTAACAATGCCATTCCAATGATATCTGTTTACGGTCAAGATGAGGCCTAAATTGGAAAAGTGAAACTGCGTACCACCCAGTGCTTAAAATAAGCAAAACAATCAGCAAGGGATGTGGGTGGACCAAAACTTTCCCCAACAAAAAAACAAAACAAAACAGATGGGAACAAAAATAAATGTAAAACTGGTTATTTCGTCGTCCTTATTTGAACTGGGGAACTCTTCCTGTCCCTGCTGCCTCCCTAACTGGTTCTGCTTTCTAAAGCTGCTTTTGTTTGGTGTAGTGGTTAAGTGCGCGGACTCTGATCTGGGAGAACCGGGTTTGATTCCCCACCTTGCACCTGGCTGGATGACCTTGGGGGCAAGCCATAGTTCTGGCACAGCTGTTCTTGAAAAAGAGCCATTTCTGTCAGAGCTCTTTCAGCCCCACCCCCCTCACAGGGTGTCTGTTGTGGGGAGGGGAAGGGAGAGGACTTTGTAAACCGCTCTGAGACTCCAAGTGAAGGGCGGGGTATAAATCCAATCTCCTCCTCCTCCTCCTCCTCTGCCTCCCCCCCCCCTCCTTTCTGTGAGCCGGAGGCTAAGAAACTGTGAGCTAGCTCACATGAACTCAGCTTAGAGGGAACATTGCTCATGGGGTGTCTGTTGTGGGGAGGGGCAGGAGTTTGTAAGCTGCTCTGAGACTCCTCTGGGTAGTGAAGGGTGAGGTATAAATCCAATCTCTTCTTCTTCTTCTTCTTCTTCTTCTTCTTCTTCTTCTTCTTCTTCTTCTTCTTCTTCTTCTCTTTCACTAACTGGTCAGAGTTGGGACTTGAGGCACAAGTGGTCCAGAGAAAAAATGTTCACTCAGCTGCCGCCACCACACCCCTGACCAGAACCCTCCCGCCAGTACATCTGTTAATAATTTAAAAAAATATGATAGAGATCTCCATTTCCTTTACCGTCTACTTTGATCCACGCCGGCTTGTAGTGTTATAGATGAATCTTTCCCAGCCCTGCCACACGAGAAACTTTCTAACAGGAGTCTGTTTGGGTCTGAAGAAGCTAGAAAAATTCAGTGGGAAACAGGGTTGCTTTCAGCACTGGCCCCTCTCAAGCTGAGGGTTGCTGGGTCCCCCCTGACGATTGGCAGGGGATGGGGGTAGGTTGGTCAGATGCAGGCTGGGAAACTTCTGGAGATTTGGGGGTGGAGCCTGGGGGAGGACAGAGACCTCAGTGGGATACAATGCCACAGAGTCCACCCTCCAAAGCATCCATTTTCTCCAGGGGAACTGAACTCTGTGGTCTGGAGACGAGGTGTAATACTAGTGGACCCCCAGGTTTCACCTGGAGGCTGGCATCCCTAGCGTGGGACTTACGGTCTGTAGGGGCCTGGAGAACTCCCAAGATGACAACTGATTTCCAGACTACAAAGATTGCTTCCTCTGGAGAAAATGGCTACTTTGGAAGGCTAGCTCACTCTAACTCAGCTTAGAGGGAACACTGATTGGGGGTAATGGCCCCGGGGAGGGCAGAGTGTGGGGAGGAGAGGGAGCTCAGCCGGGATGTGGGGCTATCGAGTCCACCCTCTTAAGCTGCCTTTAGGGGAACTGATCTCTGTAGTCACTCCGGAGATCACTTGTAGTCTGGCCCATAGCTTCAATGGGGCTATTGGGGGCTCTCCCCCCTTCCTTAAAGGGCCAGCACCACAAGTGGTTTTTTGGGAAGATTTTTTTGAGATGAGTTGGGGGGGAGGCCGTGCATGCCCCCCCCACTTCTTAAAAGGATTTGACAGGATCCTTTAAATGCTTTTGGGAAGAAGCAGGGGATGGCTGGTGCCCCTCTCCCTCCCCTCCTGCCAGATTGAAAGGGCCCTCCCGCTGATCAGCGGCCACGTGCTCCCCCCTGATCAGCTGGAGGGCCTTTTAAATCTTGCAGGAGGGGATGGAGAGGGATGGTGGCCGGCGGTCAGGCTCGCGGGGGGGGGGCAGATTGGAGCTGACAGCCCACCAGGAAATGTTTTGCCCCACAAGCCATAAAACCCTGGCTACGGGCCTGCTTGTAATTCTGGGGGGGCTCCAGGGCCTTCCTGGAGGCTGGCAACCATAGATCAATGATTTACCTGGACCAATGATTACTTATCCATCATTTGAGTTTACTAATGCCCCTGGCTAGGAATTTCAGCCTCTTTAGTCTGATTTGTTTAGAAATTTTTCCCCATACCAGTTGGGGGCAGAGGGGTTCTATCCAGGAAATGTTACAGCGCAGCAGGAAATATTTAGTTTTCAAATGCATTAAGGATCTCTTGATCCCTTACTACATATCTTCCAGAGTCTTAGAAGGTAAAGGTTTTCCTTGCTCAAAAGCTAGTTGAATCCGACTCTAGGGGGCAGTGCTCATCTCTGTTTCAAAGCCAAAGAGCTAGTGCTGTTCAAAGATGTTTCCATGGTCATGTGGCCAGCATGACTAAACACCAAGGCGTACGGAACGCTGTTACCTTCCCACCGAAGTGGTACCTATTTATCTACTTGCAGTTTCTTGTTTTCGAACTGCTAGGTTGGCAGGAGCTTTACACCGGAGTAAAAATGCACAGGACCGGTCTGTTAATGTGATCAGTTATGACTTGAATAAGAGACTCTCATTTATTTGCCATTGATCATTTCCAAATTATACAAAATCCAGAATCATACCAGCAAGCGACAACATGGATAGTTTAAAAAAAAAAAAATCTGATGATTGCCTCCTGTTGCAACGGCAAAGTTAACTGACAGAATTTTCCGTTCTTTATAAATGCCATGGAAGGAAATAAATAATTTGGTGAATCAGCTTCTTTTCCCCTAAAGATGAGAAGTCACGGTCTTCAACAAAATTTATAAAGTTTATGTGCCCGTATGTGTGCTTTAACCATATCTCAGAGCTAAACTCCCAAAAGCACAATCTGATTTTATAAAAACAAGCATCTCAAAAATTACCAAGATTTAAATATGTACCAACTTGTTCTGCTCCAATCCAAACAGATGATTCATCCCCATAAAATCTAGGTTAATTTCTTCAGATTTTGTGTAGACAATCTAACACAGAGAATACCACAACCCAAGAATGTTTTCTTAATGAAACAACTGGGCTGGATCCACCTTTTGTTCTGGCGAAACAAGAAGGAAGAGTCCCCCTTGGCTACCAAAACCGTCTATGCTGGGGATCATGGGACCGGCATGTACAAAAACCATGTGGGATGGAGGCTGTGGTAAGAAGGGAAATTAAGCGAGACCCTGTGAAAAAGCCGGCTGTATCAAACCCAGTGTAATTTTTGTGTAAATGGACAACTGAATGGTAGATTAAGGTTGCCAGCCCAGGACTGAGTTGCAGTGGGAGCATCAGGAGGCAGAGACTTCAAAACAGCATTGCATGTTTCTGGCTAGGAACCTGGGAGTGACACTGACACAACGTGACGGCACTCTGGGATTTCTCTCAGTCTCTGTGGTAAAACCATAGATACGGTAAATCTCTAGGGTAAAAACCCATAGATGGAGATCAGGAAAATCCCTAGGACGTTAGCACATTGCACCAATGCCATGTCCTGGTTCTAGCCCAAAGTGATGTTATGGCATCATGCAACACTGTGTCCCCGTCCCCCCCCCCCATTTCTGCACACATCCTGCTACTCCATTGACTGCCAGTGAGGATGGGGAATACTGGTGGGACTTTGCCAAGTAGCAACTCAGGGGGGAAATGCGCGGGTAAAGTGCGGCTTTTGAAAGCCGCACCAAAATAGGCACACGGCGGCGGGATCACACAGATCCCGTGAGCCGCCGTGCACTTGCTCCCCAGCACAATCAGATGCCGGGGAGACCGGGGAGAAAGCCACGACACAGAGAGGGAGGCTGCCAAACTGCGCATGTGTGAGCATGCGCAGTTCGGCCAGGAGCCTCGGATGCGCCAGCAGAAGGACGCGCCGGCGATCCCACGGCCGCGCTTGCCGCGGCCTTTCTGGTAAGTCCATCTCTAGGGGTGGTTCTTTTTTGCAGCGGGTTTTCGGCCTGAAGGGCCGGATCGGGGATGGGTGCACGCCGCTTCCCAGATGTTGTGGTGAGATCGCGCCCATTTGCTGCGCCCCTGATCTGTCCCTCACCCGGCCCAAACCCTTACGTGTGACCGGGGCCAGTCTTAACTTTTTTGCTGTGATAGGGGAGAGGATTATCGTACATCAACTCTGGGGGGATTTCTACCTTCATCGACTTGTGCAAGCAATTATTTCTGTGGTCGTTGCTGTCGGGAATCCTCACTACATGAAATTGGTCTCTTCAAAATGGACAGGCCACCCCTTTTTGTCACAGCTGATGTAGATGTATCTTTTCCCAGTGTAGGACCAGTAGAAGCACCGGTTAGGCGCCGTCCTCTCCAGAAAGCACGTGGTGACGGGCACCTCTTTCTTGCTGAGGCGCAGGTTTCGGCGGTAGTAGGTCGCCGCCCAAGTGCACATGTCCTTAATATCTTTCTTGGAGATGTGGACAAAGCTGTTGGTGTTTTTGCAAGGCCTTGTCATCCCTCTCTGTCGCATCATGACCCCGCAATAGTCCTGCGCTATGTTGCTCCGGGGGAAGTCGATATGCTGCCAGAGGAACTGCGTGTAGAAAGGACTCTGGGAGGAGACGGCGGTCACAGCCAGAAAGCAAAGGAGTAGGATCGGCAGCAGGGCTTTGCTCCCTTGCAGAATGAGCGTCATCGCCGCTGAATTCAGAGGACTCTGCAGTGGCAGCAAAGAGCAAATGGGTTAAAGCAGGCCGGGACTGCTTGTCTCCCCCAACCGCCGCCCCAGCTGAACACAGCCGTTCCTCTCAAGTAGGGCTGCCAAGTGGGGGTGGGGGGCAGGAAAACCCCCACTTTAGAGGCCCAATTTCCGCCGCCGCTGAATCGGGCCCCGGGGGGAACCCCGCCCCCCGAAGTGCAGCGTGGGTGCGTCACAGGAAGTGACGCAACCACATAGAGCACGTTGGGGGCGTGGCCCCAATCGTTGGAGGGAAAACTCTATGGTTTTCCCTCCAACGACTGGGGCCACGCCCCCAATGTGCTCTACGTCGCGCGTCACTTCCATGCCGCGGCAGCTCCCGGACCGAAGGAACGCTCCCCCGCCGGTGAGTAATAACAACTTGGCAACCCTAGGCTCCTGACTGGAGGGACATAGAAAGACTGGTGGTCGCCTACCTTGGTTGAAGGTGCACAGGTGCCTCCAAGAACTTTTTGATGCGGGCGCGCCAGGGGTGGGGCTGTGGTCATCCGAGGGAAAAACATAGAGTTTTCCCTCAGATGACCGCGGCCCCGCCCCCGGCGCCCCTGGTGTGGCTGCGTCACTTCCGGGTGACGTGCTGATGCCGGGCACGTCCCGTGCTTTGGGGGTGGGGTTCCCCCTGGGGCCCCATCCGCCGGCAGCGGGGAACGGGCCTCTGGGGCGGGGGTTTCCCCGCCCTCCCCCGGGGGACTTGGCAAGCCTACATTATACCCTGCTGAGGTTTCTCCCTTCCCCAAACACCACCCTCTCCCGGATTCACCCCCAAACTCTCCAGGTATTTTCCAACCCAGACCTGGTAACCCTATCTCAAGTGCTCAATTTGATCAATTGATTGATTGGCTGACTGACTCACTCACTCACTCACTGGGTCTGGGAGAGTGAACAATGAAATAGGATTCAGGTTGTAGAACCAACCAGAAGTCCAGAAAACAGAACTGAAACAAAGCCACCACCACCCCTTCTGTTTTTATCAGAAGTGGGAAGAAGAAGAAGAGATTGGATCTATCCCCCGCCCTTCACTACCCGAAGGAGTCTCAGAACGGCGTACAATCTCCTTTCCGTTCCCCTCCCCACAACAGACACCCTGTGAGGTAGGTAGGGCTGAGAGAGCTCTTTTGAGGACTGCTCCTGAGAGAACAGCCCTGAAGGAACTCGTGACTGACCTAAAGTCACACCAGCAGCTGCAAGTGGAGGAGTGGGGAATCATACCCAGTGACAAGTGTTTTTAGAAAGTGGACAGGGCCAGGGGGGACATCTGCCCATCAAGGTTTCTAATAGACAACTGGAGATTTCGAAGGAGGAGGAAGAGGAGATTGGATTTATACCCTGCCCTTCACTACCCAAAGGAGTCTCAGAGCAGCTTACACTCTCCATTCCCTCCCCCTCCCCACAACAGACACCCTGTGAGGTAGGTAGGGCTGAGAGAGCTCTTTTGAGGACTGCTCCTGAGAGAACAGCTCTGAAGGAACTCTTGACTGACCTAAAGTCACACCAGCAGCTGCATGTGGAGGAGTGCAGAATCAAACCCGGTTCTCCCAGATTAGAGTCTGTGCTCCTAACCACTACACCGTACTGGCTCTCTACTACACCATACTGGGAAGTTCGTCACCCAATGGGAAGCTGCTGTGGCTGGTGGTCTGTACTTTGCTCGGAGTATGTGTGTGTGTGTGTGTGTGTGTGTGTGTGTGTGAG